CAAATCATCCGAATACTTACATTTATACCCTTTTCGTATTTTTGTGCATCTATAAATGTTCAGATGCAGTACAAATGTTTATCGTTTGGATAAATGGGGTGCTTCCATCTTTCTGAGCTAAGAAGAATTAAGAGTTTTAAGTTTTTAGATTTGAACGCAAGTGCCCAAACCTTGAAAAAATATTTATATTAGTTATAAGTAATTTGATTATTTAGTAAATGCTCTTATACGCTAGTATTTCTGATAAAAAATTAAACAATTATTATTGATACAAATATCTTAGTTTATTTATTAAGTTATCAGATTGGAGTACTAAATATTTAAATAATAAGATTTTTACAATTAAGTTGTGTAAATGCTGTAAAAACCTTTTGCTAATGAAATATAAATTATTGAGCTTTCTCTTCATCATTTAAAATTTAAATACTTTTAGTGTAGTTATTTCTCTTTAAACATTAATAAACCAGAACACATTTTATAATTGTTTTCTAACCATTTCCGAAAGTAATGCAGACTCATTATTTGACATAACGGCTCCACTAGAATCTTTAGCCCTATACGAGGTGCTCGTTGCGCGCTGAATGGTTCTGTCTTCATACCGAGTACGTCCCTGTGATGCCATAGGTCTATTGAGGGTGTTGTTTGCGTTGTTTGGTGAACTTGGTGGAGTGCTTTGTGCAGTAAAATTTTTACTAATAAAATCTGGCTCTTTCCACATAGTGTACAAAACTTGGCTAGCAAATTTTAATACACAAGATGTATATTTTTCTTTTCGGCGAGTAATATTCATAAGACGGTCAATCCCACCTGAATCTAAAAGGGAACGAGAAAACTCCGGGTTTTTTTTAATAACTTCATTAATTGTTGCCAATACAGCTGTGATTGTATCATCTGACGTATTTTGGTCATGTTGTATATTTCCAGATGGAAGTTTCTGAACTAAGTCACGCATTGCATATTTTCCAATTAGTTCTTTGTTGCGTTGATCAATAGCTAAATTGCGCAGTGCTGTGGCAACTGCACAGACTACCCGATCCACTTCCATTCTAAGAAGTTCTACAAGTATCGGCAGCCCTTTTTCTTTACGCACTGTTGCGCGAATGTCAATACTAGGTTGCCAATAGCATGCGGATAAATTTTGAATTGCTCCTGCTGCGGCTTCGAGTGTTTCTGGATTCGAACAACTTTGCAATAATGACAAGTAGTATTGAACAACTTCAGGTTGCCATAATTGCTCATATCCCTTATTCAATTGGTTATAAGTCATAGAACTTTTTAAGTATTCTGTTGAAATATTGTACTCCTGTAAAGTATCGGAATTTTGGGAAGCATCTTTTTTTTACTAGTTCCAAAACATCCTAAATTTTCTCCTGAAAATAAGAAAATAATTACAACTATATTAGTTATAAGAGAACAAATAAATATGAAAAAATGTGTTCAGAGTGTATTTGTATATAATAAGATAGCACAGTGTTGGAAAGTTTCATATAGATAACTATAAGATTAAAAGACTAGTT